GAGTGCTGTGGGAGAGGGATGGCTGGTGTCAGAATTGGTAAACAGGTTGGAGAGAGGAGGTATGTCTGACCTTCACCTCATAGGAATCAATCAGCCTTGGGCTGCTGATCTTGATTCTCCTTCCTCTTCTGAAGTTAGAGGAGGCCAGATGCTTCCACCATGCCATTTTCACAGTTATTTTTGCCCATTCTGGTTAGAAAGCCCTGCCCAATATTTGACAAGGAACCCTGCCTGGTAACTGACTAGGGAGCATTGGCTTATTACAACTTAGAATATGGAGGCTGGGAGGATTAGGAAACGGCAGAAACACATCACGTAAAATTGTTTGGTCCTGGTGAATATTTGGATCTTATTCTAAGTGTAATGGGAAGGCATTGGAGGGTTTTAATGAGGCGTGACTTGATGTCATTTATGTTTTAGGAAGATAATCCTTTACTAGAAGGAGATTGGATTGTTGGGGGCACATACAGAGGCAGGAAGACCATTTAGAGGCATTTGCCTCTTAGCACGGTGAGGGACAATCCTGGGAGAGTAGTAGTGGAAATGGAGAAAAATAGGCAGAATTGGGATGTTTTCTGGAATAACAGCTGCAGGATGTTGGCTGTGGGTTTCAGGTGTTGTGGCCACTCCGCGTGGACCGGGTGGACTCCCACCCGGAATTCGGTTTGGATGTTGACAGTGATAATGCCACACTTATCAAGACGGCCTGAGAAGGTTTATGACTCAATAATGAGACTTTCTGGGGACAAGCGTGGTCCTCCCAGGCTGATCCACAAATGAGAGACAGAGAAAGGAGACTGGCTTAAAGTTTTTACTGTGGTTAGAGGTGGGGCTGGTGTGAAGGTTCCTGCTTGTGGACCTGGGCTTTCGTGGTTTGAGCATTCTGCCTGAGCAAAAAGAAGGGGCACGTGGGCTTTCTTAATGGCTTGTTCAGATGTGAGGCAGAAGGGAAGGAGGAGTGTGAGGCTTATCAGTGAACTTTTAGTAACTCCGTTACAATAAAATCCATTGGTTTATCTGGCATGTGAATGAATTCTTTATCATCTTTTATCTATACAAGCTTTTGTCTGAACAGATCTCTGAAAGGATGTTAAGACTTCTAGGGGTCTTTATCACACTTTGAGAATCACTGCTATAGGGTATATACCTAGAAGGGTAATTGATGCTTTGAAGGTTAGGGGCATTTTTAACCTGGCAGAGCAATTTACCACTGTCCTGTTAAGTGGTTATGCTAATTTATATTCCCACCTGCAGCCTAGCAGAGTTCCCTGTGCCCCACATCTTCAGCACCTTTTGGTGTGAACAGACAGTATAAGTTTTACTAACCTGGTTGACATAAGAAATTCCACTTTATATCTTTTGTCTGTATTTCTCTTGGATTCTATTTATCCAATTTTTTTTTCTCCCAGCCCACCCTTCTCCTCCCTTCTTCTTGTTCTCTCTACCCCATTGATTTTTTTCGTTATTTTTTCCTTATTCTGTTCTTTCTATACTGTTATACATACTATTTTCTCTAGGTTACCACCCCAGGATTTTAACATTCATGTGTAATAAAATTTAAAGGTAATCAATTTTTTAGTTTCCTCTAGAAAAATACAAGGATTCGAGAATGCTTGAACCAAATCATCCATCTCCTGATTTAGATACTATTCTTTTTAAATATTTTAGTTCTCTCTCCCTGTTTCGGTCCATTCAAATTAGTCAGTATTATTTTTGTATAATTCTCTTAACAGAGATTGCAGAAAGAATGCATGAAGGCAAATTCTTGAAGTCACTGGAAAATGTTCTTTGTTGTTGTTAGGTGCTGTCGAGTTGGTTCTGACTCATAGCGACCCTGTGTACAACAGAACAAAACACTGCCTGGTCCTGTGCCATCCTCACAATTGCTACGTTTCAGCCCATTGTTGCAGACGCTGTTTTAACCCAGCTCATTGAGGGTCTTCTTCCTCTCTTTCAGTGACCCTCTACTTTACCAAGCATGATGTCCTCCAAGGACTGATTCCTCGTGATATCATGTCCAAAATATGTGAGACGTAGTCTCGCCATCCTTGCTTCTAAGGAGCATTCTGGCGGTACTTCTTCAGAGACAGATTCGTTTGTTCTTCTGGCAGTCCTTGGTATAGTCAGTATTCTTCACCAACACTATCATTCAAAGGCGTCAGTTCTTCTTCAATCTTCTTTATTCATTGTCCAGCCTTCATGTGCGTACGAGGCGATGGAAAACACCGTGGCTTGGGTCAGCACACCTTAGTCCTCAAAGTGACGTCTTTGCTTTTTAACACTTTAAAGAGGTCTTTTGCAGCAAGTATTACGTATTTTTCTATATATTAGCAAACCATATCAACCAAAAACCTTGCGTTTGTGCTTACACCCCCAAAACCTAATTAAATTTAATAACATTGGACATTCTCATCTTCGGGGCTGCAGTCCGTTCAGCAAGTGCATTTTATGCCAGTGTTCATTTTATCTTGACCTCAGAGGAATCAGATTAATTCTTAGTATCCTAAGACCTGAATCGCTGTAACTTTTACTAGAGAGTACCCCATTTAAGTTGGTTGGTACATGGTGCAAAGGGAAGTAAATCGAGCATCTTTTTAAACTGTGTATTGCACCTTTTGGAAATAACCGTATGCTTTCAGAATTTTCATTCTGCCTTTATTTTGAATTTATATATTGTAGACAGGTCACAAAAGAAATTTGAAAATTTTAACAGCGTTCTTTTGAGCACTTGCTGTGTGTTGTATACAGTGTCCTTTTACTCCTCTGGGTGTGAAGTATTATTACCCACAGGTAATAAATGATGAAGTCAGAATTTGAAGTTAAATTTGTTTATTTCTTTTTTCATTTACATTTTATTTCAAAACATTAATAATATAGTCTGTTTAGAAATATTTACAACCCGGCCATTGAGAAACGGTAAAACTTCCATACTGCGTTACTACCCTGTTAGTTATCTATTGCTGCATACAAATGACCCACACTTAGCAGCTTAAAGCTATATGTATTTATTATGGCACAGTTTATGGGATCAGAAACCCCTCCCTCTCCTCACACCCTCTCTCCAGGCCCCACAGAGGCCCAGGTGACCCCCTCTCACTCCTCCTTGCCCATTCCCATTGTCTGAGCATTGCCTGAGCCCCAGTCCTCCATCCTCAAGCTCAGAGATTCAGCAGCTTCTTCCTCCACCTTCCAACAGGGACAAGTGTGTGGAAGAGACAAGATTCTAAAGTTTGGGAGAAAAAAGATGGAAAATTTCAGCCAGCGGAGGCAGTCTTTAATACGGTCTTTCCAAAAGGGTGCAGTGGTTTATGTATAAGAAGCTTGTTATCAGTAAACTTCTACTTTACTCAGAGGATAGTGACAGCACATGTACATTCAGAAGGATTCAAGACCCCAGAGTGATAAACAGACATAGACGAGCATGCTGTGGCCCTAGAGCAACACCCTTAAATTCGATAACATAATCATTAAGAAAAATCATCCCCCAGATAAGCAGAGGTTACAAGCACAATCCTAGTTACCTATGAATATTCTACTTTGAATCTGATTTATTCCTTCAAAAGCTAAGGGTTAAAACAGACACAATAGATTGCCTAAAATATTCTAAAACACAAAATAGAGTAATACAGATCCTCTGCCAAGAAATAATATTCCTAACGTTTCTCACTTGGAGCGTGCTCTCCCACGAGATGGGTGGTGGGGGTGTTTTTAAAAAATGAATCCACTAAAAAGGGAAGGCATGTGTGTGGTCTGTTGAGGGAGAGAGATTTCTAGAAATAATCTTCCCATGTCTGCATCTCATTCAAAACTGGAACCCATCAAGTGCCACTAACTACAGATCCCATCGTAGCAAGAATACTAGATGTCAAGTAGTACTACACGCAAGGTTATATATAATAATCTTAAAAAAGTTCCAAAAGAAACCAGTAGCTTTCTAATGGAGGCACCCAGTTTTTCTGAGACAGTAAGCTTAGGATTTTCCATTTGGAGGAAGAAACTGCTAAGAGTCGGTATGCGCTTGGGGGTGGGAGTGGGGATTATCTCCGTGAACATGGGATCCTGTTGGGGTGATGGAAATGTTCTAACACGGTGATGATGTTTGCACAGCTTAGTAAATTTATTATAAAATCATCAAAGTATACACTCAAAATAGGTGAATTTTATGATATATAAATTATACCTCAATAAAGCTGGTAAAAAAAAGTAGGGGGGCAAAGCGCAAATCTCTTAAAGCTTCACTGTAAGCCTTTTGGTAAGGTACTCCACTCTAATCTTAAATTCTTCCTTTTTTTATCGCACCATAATCCCTCCAGTATCAAATCTTTTTCTGTCCTATAAAAAAACCAAGCCTGTTGCCATCAAGTTGGTTCTGACTCAAAGCACCCTGTAGGACAGAGTAGAACTATCTCATAGGGTTCCCATGGAGCAGCTGGTGGATTCAGACTTCTGTCCTTTTGGTTAGCAGCCGAGCGCTTAACCATTGCGCCACCAGGACTCCTCCTATTTTATAAGCTCTCTAAAAAAATTCCTCTCTCCCTCAATCTCCCTATGCTTTTCATTATTTTAATAAAATTATTTTATACTTAATACTTAGGAAATATAAATAGAAGGCAAGATAAGTAGAACTCAGTTTGCTTATGCAGAGCTATATGGAAGAAAGTGAGCAGGGTGCTTTCCTTACTTCATCTTTTTCTGCCTTTCACATTCCTAAGCACATCTGCTTCCCGGGAAGTCTCAGGGGAACGAGGTCTCTCGACTCTGGATACACAGCCCTTTCTTGTGTGCTATACCGCGAAAATGAGGATGCCTTCATGGCCACCTCCCGTGGTGATTAGCACCAGAGAGCGGGTCACTGGACTAGCCAGCTCTGACACTGTCTCTTTACTCCTGGCCCCCAGTGAATGAAGTATTTGAAATGGTCAGATCTTTGTGCATATTGTGGATATTAGATTCAAAAGATTAAAAACACCGTTTAATTTAATATGATTTTATTCTTACAGCTCAAATCTAATCCAAGTGAAAATGAAGAAAAGGAAGCCCAGTCTCAACTTAGAAAAGCTGATGAGATGCAACACTTGCGTTCACAAGCACTTTATGCTTTCGAAAGCGCAGATTACACCGCTGCTATAACCTTCCTTGATAAGATACTAGAGGTGAGTTTCCTCGCTATTGCAGCTGACAAGCCTAACTGCCTAGTTTTTAATCTGAAGACTGTTTCTACACTTTGACATGTTAGGTACCACAGATAACCTATGCAGGGTAAATCAGAGTGGTCCTTGGGCTTTCTGCTCTAAGGGAAAGTCCGTGTTTACCTAGAACAGAATTGGGAACTGAAGTTTTCTGTAAATGTACCCTGGAGTGGGGGTTACATATTTTTATGCGTTGCTTGCTTTGCTGTTTTGATTTGATTTGATATTTTGGGGGAGGAAAACACTGGAGGTTAAAGAATGGGGTAAAAGGAGAAACGGCTGAAGAAGAAGGAAAAATGGTGTTTGGGAGGCAAGAGGAGTGCTCAGAGCGAGAAGTTCTAGGGGAGGGGGCGGCGGGAGCCACAGGGTGCCAGACAGGGAAGGTTGAGTTAACGATAGATGGCTTCAGAAGTAAGTCTAATAAATTTTCAGGTGGAAGCAGTCACAGTTTGTATTTATTTACCATTTTCACCGTGGTTTCATGTAGAGTGTTATTTAGTCTTGGCAGGAGATCTGTGATGAATGTAGAATGGGTATTTCTTGATCCTTTCACAGAGGAAATCCTAAGATGTCCAGTGGAATACACATTTTGCGTAATTATTTTGTTAATGCTTTATTAGAGAAATACAGAGTTGTCATTTATACCTCCCAGTGCTTAGACTGTCCATTTTGACTTAGCTAAGGGGATTGTCCATGATAATTTATGTATTGATTTTCATGTATTGTTGTTGTCGTTGGGTGCTTTTGAGTCCGTTTTGACTCCTAACTACCCCGTGACAGAGTAGAACTGCCTCATAGGGTTCTGTAGGTTGTACTCTTTATGTGAGCAAATTGCCAGGTCTTTTCTCCCATGGAACCGATGGGTGGGTTGGAACCGCCAACCTTTCAGTTAGCTAGCAGCTGAGCACTTGTGAAAAGTTGACATGACTTTAGAACAGCTCTAAGGAATATGTAAAGGTGCTTCCACAGGCCTTACTGATGAGCTTTTGGGTTTATGTTTTGAAGGACATTGTTTACTAGGTGTCCCTGGGTGGCGCAAACAGGCGCTCGTCTGCTAGCTGGAAAGTTGGCAGCTTGACCTCACACAGACATGCCTCCAAAGGGAAGCTTGGGGATCTGCTTTTGAAAGGTCACAGCCTTGCCAACCCGATGGAGCAGTTCTACTCTGCACACGTGGGGTGCAGCTAACAGCCACCACGAGTACGCTTATGAAACATTGTGGGCTTTTTGATAAATGAGGAATTGTAACGCCTCAACTTCCTGGCTTCTCACATGGTTTGTTTCTGGTTTTTTTCTTTCTTTGATATGAGGATTTAACTTCAAAGAGGTGACATTTTATAAAAGAGAGTTTCCTGTAGTTAGTACTAGAATAAAATTATTTTCCTAATTCAGACTCTTGATTTTATTCTTTGACTAGAAACTAGAATTGTTAAGTACAAAGATCTGATTATAGAACATTCAAAATCAAATATGCTTCCCTGGGAACAAGCCTCTGATAGTAAATTTTGTTTTTTTTTTATTTTTAAAGTTTCAGAATTGTATAATTGAGGGAGGTGGGCAAAGGGCCTTGGTATTATTGTCCCTTTCCCCATTAAAGTTTATTGCAGAGAGACCTTCGGAGACATCACTTTGAATTGGTTATCGTTTCTGTCAGCCTAAATTGTATCTGTCTTTTTTTTAACACTTTTACAATATAGAAGTCATCACATTAATTGAGGATGTTTTATGCTGATAAATAATGTAGATAAAAATATATGAGATGCAAGTATGAATGTGCATAACTTGCTGTTTCTTAAAGTCTAGTTCTTCTGTTTCCCAAGGTCTGTGTTTGGGATGCAGAACTGCGGGAACTTCGAGCTGAATGTTTTATAAAAGAAGGGGAACCTAGGAAAGCTATAAGTGATTTAAAAGCTGCATCTAAATTGAAGAATGATAATACCGAGGCCTTCTATAAGATCAGCATACTCTACTACCAGTTAGGGGACCACGAACTGTCCCTCAGGTCAGTGCTGTTGACACACACATCTGATCATCTTTTTACTGTTGGCAGTAAGGTGTCACTCCTGTCTATTCTTAATTTTAAATCAATAAAATTATGAATGGTTAAGGCTATTTTTATATGCTGTATACATTTATATATTTTGTACTATCTCTAAGTTATTCTAATTCCGCATAGTTTATTTTCACGAAGCATGCTTATTAAAATAATCAGGAAAGCCGTTACATTTGCAGAAACAAAATGGAGGATTTAATGCATAACTTACATGAATCATTTTAATTTGAATTAATATCTTTTATTGTGATTTCTGTATTTGTATGGAAAAACAACTCACTGATTATTTTGACTTGGAGTATTTTCCTTTTTTTTTAAAATATGTGATCAGTGAAGTTCGTGAATGTCTGAAACTTGACCAGGATCATAAAAGGTGTTTTGCACACTATAAACAAGTAAAGAAACTTAACAAGCTCATTGAGTCAGCTGAAGAGCTCATCAGAGATGGCAGGTAAGAATATGCTTTTCCAGACCTTCCAGGGTTCCCTCATGTATCTGACTGTAGTCACAGCAGAACAGTTGATCTGCTTGTTCTAGAGTATTCTAGACAGCACCAGGCCTTACCAAGACTACCACAATTGTGCAGTTTTTGGAATAAGGCAGAATATAATAATAGTAACTGCACAGTATCCTTGCCCACAGATTTATTTATATTTCAGTAAATATTGAGTATCTCCTGTATCAGGCAGTGAGCTATATATATACTAGGGGTACAGAAATGAATTAGACTGTAGTTTTTGGTTTAAGAAACATAGTTTAGACCAAATGGTCACCAATTAATTTAAAACAAAGATAGAATGTAAGGGGGCAGGGAAACTAGATTAATGGAAACAGAACAACCAAAATGGAAATAATGAGAATGTTCATGGCTTGTGAAGAATGTAACCAGTGTCACTGAACAGCTTGTGTAGAGGCTGTTGTAGGATAGGGGACCTAAACTGCTGTGTAGACCTTCACTGAAAACGTTCACTTAAAAAAAAGAAAGAAAGAAACTTATAGTTTAGTGTGGGAGACAAGACTATAAACTGATCATTAAAGGAAATGTGATACCTAGAGTGATAGAAGTGTGTACAGATAATACAGGTAGTGCTAGGGAGGGCCATTTAACTCATTCCAGAATGGCAAAGGCCAGGAATAAGGAAGAGAAACACTTGGGAGAAAGTGACTGATGGTTGAATGCTGATCTTAAAGAATACGTAGGAGTTGCCAGAAGCAAGGGGTTGTGCTTGTGTGAGTGTTGTTTGTTGGTGGTTTGGAGGGTAGGGCAGGAGAGTTGAGGAGTAAAGGGCATTCCACGGTACTGCCTGAGAGGAGGTGGGCACCAGTCCTCAGCCTCCTCCTGCCCTTGTGGTTCCTGTCAGGAAGATGTGGTCTCTCAGTGTTTGTGGAGATGCTAGGGCTCTAGATTCTATACATTTCTTAGAATCAGGGTGCCAGGAATGGAAAGAGCTAGTATTTAGAATTGATCAAAAATTATCCAAGAAGCAAATTTCATTTTTTGAGGTGCTCATTTCAACAAAGTCAGAATGTCTTTTGAGTAATTATATCAGGTTAATTAGTAAGTGGCTTTTATGGAAAGCTGTATGCAATTATATATTTAGAAGAAAGTTTAAGGGTCAATTCTGTTAGTTTTTTTTAATTAAATTTTTTATTTTGAGGTAATTGTAGAGTTACAGGCAGTTGTAAGAAATAATATGGAGAGATCCTGTGAATCTTTCACCCATTTAGCCCCAATGGTAACATCTTACAAAACGATAGTACAATCTCACAACAGAATACTGACGTTAAAAATAGTCAGGATACAGAATAATTACATTACCACAGGGATCCCTCCTGTTGTCCTCTTATAGCCACACTCCTTTCCCTCCTGCCTCCACCCCTTCCTTAACTCCTGGCCACACTAATCTGTCCTCCATGTCTATCATTCTGTTATGTAAGTTCTCTGGAGATTGACCCGCATTATGATTCTTTCCCGTTTATTGCTGATTAGTATGACATGGTATGGATGTACCACAGTTTAACCATTGACCCAGTGAAGAACATCTGGGCTATTTCCAGGTTTTACCTATTATAAATAAAGCAGCTCTGGATATTCCTGTACAGGTTTTTGTGTGAACATAACTTCTCATTTCTCTGGGCTAAATGCCCAGGATTGCAATTACTAGCTTGTATGGTAGTGGCATGTTTAGTTTTATAAGAACCTGCCAAATAGCTTTCCAGGGTGGCTGCGCCATTTTACAGTCCCCCCAGCGATGTATCATATCCCTTCTCTGTATCCTTGATGGCACCTAGTGTTGTCACAGTTTTTTATCTTGGCATTTTGATAAATGTAGTGATACCTCATTGTGATTCTGATTTGTATTTCTCTAATGGCTAATGATGTTGAACATCTCTTCATGTGCTTATTTGCCATCTGTTTCTTCTTCAGTGAAATGTCTCTGTGTTTTGCCGTTTTAATCGGATTGTTGCTTTTTTACTGTCGAGTTTCGAGAGTTATTTATGTAGTCTAGATAGTAGTCCTTTGTTGAATATACGGTTTGGAGATATTTCCTCACTGTCTACTATGTCTTTTCATACTCTTAACAACTCTGTTGTTTGGTGCGTATACATTTAGGATGGTTATATTTTCTTAGTGAACTGATCCTTCTATTATTCTAAAATGTCTGTGTCTTTGTTAATTTTCTTTGCTCTGAAGTCTGCTTTATCTCATATAGCTTCTCCTGCTTTCTTTTGATTAGTATTTGCATGATGTATCTTTTTCCATCTTTTTACTTTCAGCCTGCTTATAGTGTTAAAGTTGAAGTGAGTTTCTTGTAGATAGAATATAGTTGAGTCAGGTTTTTAAATGCCAATCTCTACCTTTCAATTGATGTATTTATACCATTTACACTTAACATAATTACTGATGTGTTAGGGCTTAAGTTTGCTATTTTATTTTTTGTTTTGTTTGTTCTGTTTTCTTCTTCCTGTTTTGCTGTGGATTACTGGAATATTTTTAAGAATTAACATTTTGATTTATCTATAGTGTTTTTGAGTGTATTTCTTTGTACAATCACCGGATTACGAGATCTGTTCCTACGTGTGTCTTTAAGAATTTGTAGATAATTTGCAACAGGTGCATATGGTTCTTATTTAGTCTTACTTTAGTGCAAGAAAGGGAGCCCTGGTGGCGCAGTGATTAAGAGCTGAGCTGCTAACAAAAGGTCTGCAGCCGCTCCTTAGAAACTCTACAGGGCATTTCTACTCTGTCCTATAGGGTCACTATGAGTCGGAATCAACGCGACGGCAAAGGGTTTGGTTTTGGTTTTTTAGTGCAGGGAAAGGCTCAGGGTGTTTTCAGTGATTTAAAAGCTGCATGTGCAACAAGTGAAGGTGATTGTGGTGAAGAATGTGTTGCAGTAGGGGTTGGTTCAGTTGTTTTAAAGTGAGGGCAAATTTACTTAACATTAAAGGCCAAGTACGAGTTGTCCAATAAATCAGACGTTTGTAACCTGGGGACTTACTGTATAGTTAAAGTGTTTGCTCTAGGTGATCCATTATATATACATAACTTACTACAGTGTACTGGTATTGTCAGTTTATTGGTTTAAGTGAAGTATAGGAACTTTACCCTCCCGTTTTAATATAATTGTCTTAAATATTTCCTGCATTTAGAACTATATCAGACAGTGTTAGAATTTTGCTTCAACCATCAAACGTTACTCAGAAAACTCAAGGAAAAGGAAAACCTATTGTATTTACCCGTATTTTCGTTTACTGTATTCTTCTTACGTTCCAAGGTTCCTTCTTTTATCTTTGCTGTATAGAGAACTTCCTTTAGGGTAGGTGGGCTGGTAACAGATTTTCTTACGTTGCCTCCATCTGAGAATTTCTTGATTTTCCTTTCATTTCTGAAGGATATTTTCGCTGAATATAGGATTCTAGATTTCAGCACCTGAAATGCATTGTGCTACTTGTTTCTGGCCTCTGTGGTTTCTGATGAGAAATCCACTGTCATTCCAGTTGTCCCCCTTCCCCAATATAAGCTGTCCTTTTCGTCTGACTTCTTCCTTGTTTTTAGTTTTCAGAAGTTTATTTACGATGTGTCTTGGCACAGATTTCTTTATATTTACCTTGTTTGGAGTTGGCTCACCTTCTTGAATCTGTAGGTTTATGTCTCTTGTCAAACTTGGTAAGTTTCCAGCCATTATTTTTTCTGAGTCCTTTGCCAATCCCATCCTCTTTCATGGCTGCTTTAAAACCTTTGTCAGATAATTCTGACATTTTTGTCATCTCTTGATGGTCTTTTTTCATTCCGTTTGAAATCTTCCTTGTTCTTGATGAGTGATTTTTCAATTGAAACTGGGCATTTTATTTTATTTTTTTATTTTATATTTTATTGTACTTCTTTTATATTTTATTGTACTTCAGGTGAAGGCTTACTGAACAAATAGTTTCTCATGAAACAGTAGTACACGTTGTTTTATGACATTGGTTAACAACCCCATAACATATTAACCCTCTAAATTCTCAACCTTTTTTTTTTGGTGAAAATACACATAGCCAAAGATTACACTGTTTCAAAAATTTCTGCATACACAGTTCAGTGACATTGACTACACTCTTCCAATTGTGCTGTTATTCTCACTTAAGATGAAGGCTTACAGAACAAAATAGTTTCTCATTTAACAGTTACTACAAATGTTGCCC